TCAGACTTGTGGAATCAGGAGAGATGTGCCAAGTTCTTCTGTCTTAAGAAATGAGGATATCATGGGAGAGATGTTAGCTGAGGTAGGTATAGAGAGGAACTTCCTTTTTCACGTTTTCATGGACATAAAAAATGGGACTTCCATACCCTTTGAAGAACCCAGAAGAATACACTAGTTGTCAATTAGTTTCTTCCCATGATAGAAGGTAAGTCATTCACTTGGATTATAAGTGTGAATGGATGCTGTCCAACATTGCTTGATGGAGCAGGTTGCATTTTAGTAATCAGTATCCATATGTGACCTTTCTCAAGCATTCTTTGCATCATAGCCACACATGCCCCTACTGTGGTGGCTGGGACAGTGTCTAGCCTGTCTGTCCCTATGCTGCTCCCAAAGCCAGACTTGGTGGAGTAATATGAAATGTCAGGCCCAGAGCCAGCACTGCAAATAAAACCTATTTACTGATTCCTCTCCAACATCTATATCCCAAACTAATCATAATCCAGTGTGAAAGGTGTGTTATGAATAGCCATGATACCCCAATTATTTCTCAGGGAAAATAGAGGCAAAGCCTTTACGACATGCCAGGGTTCACTTAGGATTTACCACTTTGGCCCAAATTTCAATTCAGCATCTCTATTATTCTGCAGCTTGGGCCAGTGTTGTAGGTCCGGACAGCAGGGGAACATACTAATTGTATGGGGTCATACCCAAACCTCTTGTTTTGCACTGAGTAGCAATTTTCTCATCAGTAAAATTAGGGGATTGGCTAACTGCGATCGGAATTCCCCTCCCCCCTTCACAAGCACTGATTCTAGGTCTGGAAGGACTTTATTGACAGCAACACGCATGACTGTGAGATGAATTTCATGTGGGGTGTCAGAGGGAGCAATGAATGAAGGCAGCACTGAGCTGCTTGTTCTTCTTTTGCATAGTGGGTTCTGGCTCTGTGCCTTTTCTGGCCTCCATAGCCTCCTCTTCTGGCAAAGACTTCAGCTCTGTGAGCCAAGACGGGGTGAAGGAAAATAAACAAGCAAAGGGGCACCTGCTGAGACCAGCGAAGGAGCCGCAAGGATTAGCACTGTGCTTGGGACTAGGACCTGTGGACCTCCACCAGCTGGATGCAAGCCCTGCTTTGCGTCTTTCTCTTTGCAGATATGGTGCAAAGCTCTTACCTCTTTGGATTTCGGTTATTAGGTATAAAATGAGGATTAACAATAGTATTTAGATCATAGGGTGGCTGTGAGGTTTGATGTACACAGAGCCGTGCCTGGAAGACAATATCCATCCTTTCTCTAAGTGACTGTCATTACTTTAAAATACTTTGATCCAAATGAATGATCTTCTGCTCAATGGGAAAGGCATAATCACAGGCAAGCGAAAAGGAAGGCATCTTAGATGATGTTTTGTTCTTCAAAGACAAATACATATCCTGAAGGATGTTATTCAGAGTAAATTGTTTGAAAATACAACTTGAACAATTGGGTTCAAGCAAGCAGTTGTCAACATAGTTACCTGTTTTTAGAATTTAAAAGTCCTAGTTTCCATCACAAAGACACCCTAATTAACAGCAGGAGGCTCCATGACTATATACTGAATATTTACAACTGATGGTTAAAGTGCTGACCAGAACAGAAAACATTAGTTCCTCCCAACACACTGTAGAATGAATGAGGTTTAGTATGGCTTAATGTAGATGTCCCTTGGTGCAATATTATTATTAAGACTTTGAAATTAATGGATGGACTTTATGTCTATCACAGACAATGACTGTTTCTGTCTACTTGCTGTTGTAGTTACCATTCGTGGGAGGGGGAAGTACCTTCTTATACTCAGGAACTTATTTCCTCTATTCTGTCATTCCACCCAGGTGAATGTAATGGAGTTTGTCATTTATAGTAGCTTATTCCACTCTGACATGTAGAAGTGTACAACAGGGATTGGTCAGCAGCAGTCTCCATTCTCTAAGGAAAGAAATTACCCAAGACATGAATATATGACCAAATTGGGTCAATATGTAGGGTTCCCTGTATTTTTCTGGCTCATGAGTATTAAGTCTAAGGAAGAAAGGAGAAAAGATTTGATTTTTGGGTTTACAAGCATACACAGATTAATCAATATATGGAAAGCCAGCTACCAGAGTAAACTCATCATGGAATGAACAGAGATAAAAGTTGAAAGAGAAAAATCCAGACAGGCCTTATCCTAGCTCCCAGGGGCTTCTGGTACTCTCTTAGTGGATATTCCAGCTATTACATTTCTTTTACAGGGTAAAGTAGCATAAATTGACTTTATGATACTTGTATAATATAGACTTTGTCCGTTCATTCAACCACCCACCATCCAAAAACATCCATACATTGACTTTCCCCATCCATCTATCTACCCACTGGTCCATTAACTTATCCATCTTCCATCCACCCACTCAACCATCTACCTATACTCTATCTGCCACTTTCACTGTGTACATACACAAAGTTGACCAGGTTTTCAGGTTATATCTAGGTGCCTCAGAGGCATTCAGTTTAGCAGAAAAAGCAGTTGAGAAACAACTGTATTAGGTAGTCATCGATGTCATGAAGGACCCTAAAGCAAGATAAAGGGGAAAGAGACTGCTGGGGAAAGAGTGAAGGGCCAGAGAAGGTCCCTTTCTGCAGGGGACATCAGGCAGAATCCCAAGAGAAGCAGACAAGAGGACCATATGAAGAGATCTTGGCTGATGGAGACAGCTTTAAGTCCAGATCACGTGTCTGCTGGGTTAACTGAGTTTACTTTGTACTTACAAATACCGAGGGCATTAATGGCCTGCACTGCAGGGAGATTCCTTCCTAACAGGGTAGATGGAGGATGAAAACCCTACTCTGGCCATTTCTGTGTTGATGGCATTGCAAGGTACGAGAGCACTTTAGATCAACTCCTTGAAAGCGACACAGAGATGAAATAGGCTGTTATTTAACCATGTAGCCAATATTTATATTTCAGGCATAGGTTTAGCTTCAATACTGATATATGTATGGGTATAATATAATGCATATATGCATACATATATGCTTTGTTACAAAAGTTTTGAATCCAGCCAAGGTCATTGCAGTGGACATATTCAAACCAGGTGAGAAGATGGGAGGAGCCATCCACTTCCAGTTTTATAAAAGTCATACAGCATGGCATACTATGTGTTCAGCTCTCTGTGAGCCTATCATGAGAGTTGTCTCTTTTCGTTTGTGTTAACCACGGGATTGTATACACCAAGAAAGAAGTGTAGCACTACAGAGCCCACTGTCCAGTCAACTATATGAATTCAGCTGGGCTTATATCCCATAGGAATCAAATGAGTCAGGACATCCCTAAATAAATGATCATGTTGTAAGCAAGTAAGAGCTTGAGCTCCCACCAGTATGCTGACTAAATGATTCCCTCCCTCACCCTCAAGACTGCATCTGGATCTGGAAAAAACAGGAAATATGACTGTGTGCTCACGTTGTCAAACAAGCAAACGTGTGGGCTGTTTGTTCTAGGAGGAGGTGATAAGATGAACGTCAGATTGCCCTCGATTTGTAGATAACGAGAAAGGAAGACTGAAACGTCAGTTGATTGGCAGGCTATTGAAGATGCCAACCATAAGGTAGCCAGTGAACAGCAGCAAGTTTCCGCTTACATCCTCTGCTTCTTGTTGAATATTCTCTTGTCACTGTGCTCCCTTCCTTCTTGGATGAAGGAGTTGAATTCACCCTTCCTTAAGATCTCTGTCTCTGTGTATTTACTTGTTCACGTCATCTGGCTCATCAGCCTACCAGCCTTACCTGACTACTGTTCGAATACTGGATAAAGATGATTGAATGGTTTCTATAACCAACTTTGATATTCTCTGCGGAGGGTGAGACAGCAAATACCCGAGTCTCACCGTAAAGAATCGGGGAATACATTTTCCTTTGCGCCTCCTTTCTATAACCAGAGAAACACCTTTAGAAAAGCCTCAAATGCACGTGTTCCATCTCCAATTTAAGCAGAATGAGAAAATCCGACATATATTTGGAATAACATACAGTACTCCTAACCATGGTTTCAGTTACCCACAGTTAACAGTTAACTTTGGTTAAAAAATGCGACACGTGCACTCCAGAAAACACTCCACAAGTTTTCAGCAAGTATTCCTCTGGGCTGATATTTCTTAACATCTCCAACTATTGTGGATCATCTTGTTTCATAATCTATAACAGAGTCCAGACGTTGAACACCTTCTACAGAGGGGTTAGAAGTTGGGGAAAGTAGTCTCACACACGCCCCCGAATCTCCTCTCACCTCTGCATCAGCCTGCAGTGCAGACGACTCACTGGACAGCCTCATGACTACAAGGATCATGAATGCAGTCTGTGTTTGCTTTCTGAACTGCCCTCTGTGATGGGAGCCCAAGAAGCAAATGGAGAAAAGTACAATGGCAAACATTTTTCCTTCACCTATGTCAGTTTGAGGGTGTTAGATCTTGGAGTTATACACAGTTGTGAGCTGCCACGTGGGTGTTGGGTTTTGAACCTGGATCCTCCGGAAGAGCATTTGGTGCTTTTGACCACTGAGCCATCTGTCCAGCCCAGTAGCAACCATTTTCACATTCAGACCTGACTTTGAAGTTTGGTTTTGCTACTTAGCTTTTGCATGATGCAGGAGGACTAGCTGAACCTTTCTGAGTCCCAATCCTCCTCATCCACAGAGGAGAATAGTAAGGGTTATCTCACGTGGTGATTGTGAGGCTCGGGTGTGATAACTTGCTCAGAGCCTAGCTCCCAGGAGATCACCGTTCACTCTGTAGTTGTTGTTATTAATCATAATAAGCCATCCTTAGCTAAACTAACATGAAAATGGCAGAGGAATCAGTGTTCAGCAACAGAGTGAGCGCCAAAGACTAGCTTGTGACCAATATGGCTATCCGGCAGCTTTCCACCAAGCAGAATGAACCCTCCCCCAAAACAATGGCGAAAGGAGGGACGTCATAATCAGAAATGTACCTGGCTGCTGCCTCCAGCTGTTCCTTCCTATAAAAGAAAGAGAAAAAGAGAAATCGTAAGTGACGTGAAGTGGCTGCATCTTGTCCCAAAGTCTGCCTCGGTGGTCTCTTTGGAAGGTAGAGTCAGTCCAATGGAATAAAGAAACACTCTGGAACAAGATGGTGGGTGTGGAAGGGAAACCAAAGTACGAGGCAGGCTTTTCCTCGTGCCCCACGCCCCTGCTCCTAAGTTTGTCTAAGCTGCTCACTCATCAAGCAAGTGGGTGCGTTCCTACTCCCTCCCAGGATTCACCGCTCAGCTCAGTAAGTTTGTTTTGTGATGGGGACAGATCAGGATATCAAGACTGCCAAATGTCATTGCTGTATTCCCACCCCTCGCTGCCATCACGGTCAACAGCATCACCAACATGCATGTTGACTGGACAGCAAATTGTTTCCTGTCTCTTCTCTTATCAGATAGCATTTTAAGTGCTTTTTATGGATTTCTCAATTAAGCCTTCTGACAACTCTAAGAGGTAAATACTATTACCATACCATTTTGTTTTTTCTGTTGAGAAAGTTGAGGGACAAATAAATTTAATAAATTGCCTATGGCCTCAGACATGAAGCAGTAGAGTTTGGATCGCTACCTAGGCACTGTGTCTGCAGAGGATGCCCTGTAGTTATGGGGCTGGCTGAACATGTTGGCCACCTAGTCGCCACCCGGGGCCTTTGCTCAGCTCTGCCTAGGATCCTCTACCCATTTTCCCCACGTGGAGCAGTCTCTTGCTCATGCGTCAAGCCCACTGCACTTGGCTTCAATCCAGACATGGTGTTCTTGCTATGAGGTCACCCACAGTGGTTTCCTAAGACTACAGTTTGGGAGCCCAATGTCTTTCTTGTCCCCTTTGCTTCTGCTAGGTTTCATTGATCTCTCCAGTGCACACTGAATCATCATTGATTTGAACAACCTGCCACGAAGGCAGATACTGTCATACACATAACTCAGTTTCACCATTACGACACCAACCTCTTTGGGAATGGACATTGTTTAGACAAATAAGCCTTGAGACCCAAACCTGTGGGATGCAGGTAAGGATGGACCTGAGTATTCTACGCTTCTCTCTAAAATAGGTGTTTCTTCCCAGACACACAACGGAAGAAGAAAAAGAGCTTGGGAAGAAGAACCGGGCTCCAATCTTTCTTCCAGCGTGTACTTGCTGACTCATATCCGGTCTTAGTCTCAGTGTTCTGACTCTTCACTCATAAACATGGTCACATGGAATGGAGAGAGGTGGGACCAGGAGAAACCACAAATGAAGACAAGATTTCTTTCAGACATAACAAAATTGTGCTGACGTTGGTGTGTTGAATGATGCCCTACTTTGAGAATATATTCAGAACCACTAAACTGACCTGTCCTCTTATAGGGAGCGAAATGTATCTCAATAAAATTGTTTTCAAAAAGTGAATAAAAGGAAAAACCCTTTGGGAAGCAGGTGAGGACAAATCGGTGTACCTGCTTTCTCTGTGTCACTAGCATATGGTGTGGGTTGGCATTCAGGGACACTCTTTTCCCAAAGGACTGTCTGGTTTCAGAGTGGTTGCTAAGTGAGTTTCTCTAGCGACTCTGTACTTTTGTCCTTGAGAAACAAAACAAGAAAGAAATGTTCCCTCTTAGTTTAAAAGCCATCCCCACATCACAGCAACTGTCTGCAGCACAATGTAGCCCTCAAGTGTCTGACAGTCAGGACAATGTTGTATTTATAATAAATCGACCAAAAAGAATGGGCCCATTGCCAAGGCCTTGGGATGCAAAGCTAATGAAAATCATCTTGGCTCTACATTCAGTCTGGGTACACATGTTCTTGGTTTTGAATCCAAGGTCATCCTGTTTTCTTAAAGGGTGGGAAGGATACTGGCCCATTCTAGGAAGGCTCTGATTTATGCTGTCACAGCTCCTAATCAATAACAGCAGTAACTGACTTTCAGAAACACAATTAGCAACATCCGAGCAAGTAAGTTTAATTAAGTTAGAAGGTACAGTGAGTAACCCGAACTTACTCCTCTATTTAATTATTCATCGTTTGCCTCTTACCTCTTCCACAAGTCATCAGTCCCCTTATCTTTACTCAGACCCTCTCTCTCTTTCTCCCTTCTTAGGCTCATGCCCTCAGACCTTCCTGAGAAGCGAAAGCCCCGTGAGAGTGAGGCAGGAAAGGTTTTCTGGGGCTGGGCTTGCAATTCTCCAAGGTCATGGCCAGGTTTCACGTTTGCATGTTACTTATGATCACTGACTGTAAAGTTTTTAAATAAAGCAATGAGCCCATAAATCCCGAGCCCCTCTATTCCTTTAAATATTTTAAAATGTATTGACTGATACGGGCATGTGCACACACGTGCATTTGGCAGTCAGTTTCTCCTTCCACATGGGTATTAATCTTAGGTCATCAGGCTTAGTGCCAAGTGCCGTTAGACACTGAACCATCTTGTTGACCAAATTTCCTTAAATCTTTAGCACAACGTATTGGTGACAGCAGAAGGATAAATGGAGCTAGTATTCATAATCCAGTCATAGGTTTTATACTGAGTGTGTGGGAGAGTCAGGTAGGTGTTGTCATTTGTTTGTAGAATATGCTTCAGTAAACATAGTTTAGAGTAGAGCCTACCCCAGAATGAGCTAACAGTGCCTCTATCTTGTCTCCTAAGTCAAGGGTTCTAGAAGTCTAACATCTGCCTATATCCAGAACTCTGGACTCTAGACCACACCATCAAAACACTAAAAGGAAGAGCCTACTTTAGAATCCAGGCAGCAAGAAAAGCACAGGATTCAGATAACTATGAAAATTTTCAAGAATTTTGAGTCCTAGGTCACTAACCCATAAGTAGAACCTGGTGTCATTGACCATTCAATTTGGTACTCAGTGTTCACCATGAACCATTATGGTAGAATGAAACCATGGCTCCTGGTCCAGACAGTTTTACCACCACACTTCCATCAGAATGGCTGAAGGTGTATGCTGGCTCTGTATGTTCAAAGCAGTGCCTTCAGGTCTAACGTACTCTGGCGTTTGTGAACACTGACTCATCTCAGAGAACCTACTAGGATTAAATGAAATGCAGACTGGGATATTTGGAACGCAGTGGATATCACTGCATGTTAAGTTCCCTTCTCTTCTCCTTATGCTAGCCATGGGAAGAGTCTATGCACACCATGGGCCTTTACTTCAATTTTCCAACTCTGAGAACATGAAACACCATTAATAGGTTTCCAGGGGTCATCCTTGTCCTTCTTCCCTTTGTTGAAACGGTCTGTGAGTCTAAGCTATGGCCAGATGAAGGAATCACCAGGCTGCTAGGATAGCTGGTTGTGCTGGCTTCTGCTTGCTCCATCCTCTGATTCTGTCCACACAGATATTGCCTAGTGCCATGCTGTTTGCCTCTAGCTGCTCACTGGAACATCTAGAAGGTTTTGAAAGGCAGTGGTGTCTGGTTTTACTTCTGAGGATTTAGACGTCATTGGGCCAAGTATGTCCAAATAGCAAGGTTTTATTGTTTTGCTTTGTTTGTTTCAAGTTCTCCAGTGATGTCAATATGTGGTCCCCCTCGCCTTGGACGACACTCTCTAGGAAACCATGAGACAATGACACGAAGAATAGACCATGGTAAAGAAGGTCAGACACACTGGGAACACTTAGACAGGTGACTACTTGCCTGAAGAAGGGGAAAGAGACAACCGATTCATAAAATCTCCAGGTTGCCACTAGGTCAATCCTATTGGGGTTGGTAGCATAATATCTCCAGGCAGCCTGAGGAGGAGAAAAAAGGAAACAGAACGATGTGGGTGTCATATGAAATCGTCACACAGCATCCTACGACATCCAAAGCAACCTTTAAGCTCTTGTCTCCTAAGTTTGAGTGTCTGTCTAGTGAGGATTCAGAGAGGCAGAGGCTCTGGGCTTCTGACAGATTCTATGGAGCAAGAACTTGACCATTTTTAGAGCTACGGCTGGTGCTGTGGTGAGCTGACAAACTGGGACAGAGAGAAGAGGTTAGAATCCCTGCAAGGAATGGTGACTGTTCTTTCCAAAGAGTCTCTTGAGACTGTTTGGCCAATTCCATAAGGAAACAGAGTCTTTCGTGTTACGTCTGAGTAGAAGAATCCTGGGAGATGGCTCTCATGGACTAAACTTCTGGGATGCTCCGATGGCTTGGGGTTTGAAGGCATAAAGGAACAAGCAGACTTTGCACGTGGAGACCATTTTGGATGCTACCATGCTCTGTCAGTTCCACAGACCCACAGAAGCACCTGCTGCAACTGGGTACAAGCTCTGGGTGGGCGGTAAGAGCCTCAGCACTGAGGAAGGCGCAGGGGGGACACACTAAGTTCCTATTTACTATGCTCCCTACTCCTAATGGCTCATGCAATCATGATACAAATTATGACACCCAACAGGGAACAGTTACTTCTGTTTTCTCCTATTATTCTTCCTCAAGCTTATGGTTGTAATAGCAATGGACAGAACTAGGCATCCAACGTCTCCTGTACCATGATTGTTGAAGACAGGAAAACTGGTGGAGTATCCAATATTTTGCATACTTTTGTTTTTTTTTCTCTCTCCTTCCCTCTCCCCATGGGCTCTCTACTGCTGACAGACAGGAAGGGATCAAACGGCCCTCCTTGTAGCCACTAAGCACCTGGACTGTCAGCTATCTCTTTTCTGTGGGTCATTGCATCAATCCTAGGATGGGAAGGAGAATAATGAAAAGGAGGCTAAGAAAAGTCACAGGTCTAAACCAAATTCTTGACTTCCTAAATTATCAGAAAAAAATCAAGTGGTTTCACCCTTGAGTACTTGAGTCGAATAGAATTTGGGTGAAAAAAATGCTAAGGCTTTCATTGTCAACACACATAGACTGTGCAGGTAACCACGGTGATGTCTGTAGTTGCCTACAAAGGAGCAAATGCGAGCTGGCCTCTCCTGTCTAGGACTGTGGTTTTGTTTTTCTTCTTTCTGTTACTGTCTGTCTGTCTGTCAGTCAGTCTGCCTGCCCCCTCTCTTTCTCTCTCTCTCTCTCTCTCTCTCTCTCTCTCTCTCTCTCTCTCACACACACACACACACACACACACACTCACATACCCCCACCACACACATGCCCACACTCTTACATCCCTCGGCCCATCTTAGTCCACCCCCGGGCACACAGACCTGGATGAGTTCAGCGGCTGGTTTCCTTCTCTTTTCAAAGTGTTTCTGACGGTGCTGCTCCTGCACCTTGAGCGCCAGTCCTGAGCCAAGGATGCCCTGCAAGGAGAAGTCAAGCCTGAGTCAGCTGCACCGGGCTCTCTCAGCACCCAAGCCTCATTTCTGGGGTAGCAGAGAATGCAGGGTTCCATGACACTCTGAAGCCCGCGCTGCCATTTGAATGTGACATGTCACCCACGGGCTCATGTGTTTGAAATCCTTAGCTGGTGGCCCTTTAGGAAGGTTGTGGAACCTAGAGGAGGTGGAGCCTTACTGGAGGAGTTAAGTCCCTGGAGGTAGGGGTAGGTGTTTTATAGCCTGGACCCACAGCCTGTCCACTCTGCTTCCTGACTGCTTATGCATGGGACCCGTTGCTTCCTGCTCCGGCCACCATGCCTTCCTTACCACTGTGTACTGCATCCCCTCAAACTGTAAGCCAATTATACATCTTCTTCCACTTACATTGCTTCTTCCCAGGCATTTTGGTCATAGCCACAAGACAAGGGGTTTTGCAGTGGTAATACAAGATGGAGGAGAGAAAGGAGAAATCTTCCTTTCTACTCCTAGAGTAGGGAGTATGGTTAAGAGAAACCAGCCTGAAGCCAAAAACGTCTGACTTCCAATCTGAAAGCCACAGCTCAGCAAAGTTCTTATCTGTGCTCTATCTTCCATTGGGCCGTTGGATCATAGTACCTACCGCACAGCGATCTTAGGAAAAACCTAGATGATAAATTCGAATTGTTCCAGTAAGGCATGCGACACAGAGCAGATACCCTGTGTATGATAATTGAATTTTAAAATATTTAAGCTGTTCTAATTGTCCCTGGGAACATGCACTATAGGCAGAATTTCCAAGAATTGAATCTGCTTTGATTTCCAGGTCTAAGTAGAGAGACACATACGTTTAATATGAAAGATAATTAGAGAGGATATACTACCCAGCCCATCCTGTGCAAGTTTCACAGATGACAAAACAAGTTTAAGAAGATCACAGAAAGAGTTAAATAGCTGAGGGAAATACATACAAGTTGGCTAATAATGGAGAAAGGAATTCTCTAGTAATGACATGGTTGTGGGTTGTGATTTAAGAATGGTCTTCTTCAAGCTGCATAATGAGAAGCTTTAGAACTGGCTTCCAGTTCCCGACTCCACATATCAGGAATGTTTACTAGCCTCTAATTGAGCCTCAGATTTTAACTCATACTATTGGCATGAAGAACAAATGAGATAATGCCGACAAAATGCTTAGCATGATTTGGGCACACGTCAATTCCAGTGTGAGCCTTCTATTTCCATTTCTATTCTCATCATTCCACCTTTGGGGGATCTTTTACACATCAAGGACTACTCTTGAAAGAAATAAAAACATTCAAAAATTTAAGGTATCAGGCCACAGAGAGGAAATTCAGATGTGAAATGTCTGTTCTGTGTAAGGTTTGGGGCATCAACAGATGAAGACAGAATCCTTGGCCCCCAAAATATCAGCCTCTGATGGTAGGCAGAGATGGAAACCCACAAACCCACATCGAGTCAGGACAGGAGGGGTCCACTGACTCAGACTGAGGATGGCATTACTAGTCCTGGGTCTTATAAAACAAGGGGCCATGTGAAGATGTCTCTCAGGGTGCAAGGACACATCGAAAGCCACCGTGCAGGAGGCGTGAGACACACCGTGCCTAGGGTGACAGCTGGCGGAGGGACAGGATGTAGAGTGCCAGGTACAAAGGGGGAAATTGAGGCTGGGGGTTCAAGCTGGGTTTAGGCAGTAGCGGGGAGCTTCCTGTCACACACTGAAAGAACTTACTGCTGGAAGGGCAAAAAAGGAGACGCCGATTAAGGAAAAGGTGGCAGCAATCAGACGTCCTTCCCAGGTTTTAGGTGTCTTGTCTCCATATCCGATGGTGGCCAGTGTGATCTGAAAAGAAGAGTTCAGACTCGGTTTCCCCAGGTAGGCGACAGCAGTGACAGTCAACGGAGCTCCGTGTCTCAGCCTCTGTGCCTGTTTGGGTGCCTCTCTCTCTCTCTCTCTCTCCATCTCTCTCTCTCTCCATCTCTCTCTCTCTCCTCCCCTCTCTGTTTCGTATGTGTGCGTATGTGTATGCACTTGTACGTGTGTGTGTGTGTGTGTGTGTGTGTGTGTGTGTGTGTGTACAGTTGCTTCTCTATAACCACGAATTCCATATCTTTGGATTTAACCAACTATGCTTCAAAATATTTGAATAAAAAACAACCAATAATGTAACAATAAAAATAATACAAATAAGACCTACAGCAGGCCAACTGTATTTACACAGTATTTACATGTCATTAGGCACTAAAAGTAAACTAGAGGTGATTTAAATACAGAGGAGGATATGTGCGGCTTGCATACATATGCTGCAATGCTTTCTAAAAGGGACACACATCTGTACATTTGACATCCTCAGAGAAGTGGAAGAAATTGAAATAAATTCTTGTTACGTCAAGGAATGACTGCATTTGTGAATGTATAGATTTATGTACAACCATGTTACAAATTGTGCTTATGAGTTTGTTTGTGTATACCATCCTGTGTACATCTCTCTCTGCCCATGTGTCTGTCCTGAGCCTAGATTACAGTGTGTGTTTATGTGTTGATCGAGACAGTTCCCAACACCATGGCCTCTGCAGCCTGTTTGCCTGCCTTCAAATGTCAAGTGCCGTCAAGGAACTATTAAACTAATTACTTTCTATGGTTCTCACCTCTTCAAAAGAGACCAGTAACAGGCGCTTGGGTTCAAAGTTCATTAGTAAGTACTGACAACAGCATGGTGATGTGGGGTAAATTAAGGCTTTGGTGAGTGTGGCTGTCAGCTTCTCTCTGTGCCTTCAGGCCTGTGTGCCATGCATGGATCTGACACTGTGCTCCCTTGTGCAACATGGCCTAGCTGATGATGGCCCATGGCTAACAAGGCCAGGTCCCAGGAAGCCATGCAGATAGACTGTTCTGAGCTCTAGTGTCTTCAAGCTCTACAGGAAAACTGTCCAGGTACCTTCTGCATCAGCAGAAGCTTCCTGCGTTCTCTGTGTAGATTTGAAGGTGGGAGTGGTCCACCTCTGGATTCCGAATGAAGCTGACCGAGCATGTAGGGGTCAGGCTTCCGTGCCACCGCCCCAGGGTTGCCTTTCAACAAAGCTGACTCACCAGGCCCCACCACAGAGCATCTGCGTAGGTCTCAAACTCCTCTCTCATCTCTTCTCCTTGGGCGTCAACCTCCGGCACATCCTTCTCCACCAGGTAGACGAGAAACGAAGAAAGGATGAGCGTCAGGAAGCCAATGTACCAGGCGGTGATGAGCTCCTGCAAGGGTGGACAGCAGAGGGAATCGGCAGGAAGCCCTTGGGTGGAACCTTGAGCTGGGCAGTCTGGGACTGGAGTCCATGTTTACCGGTTTTCTTTTCTGAGTCTCGTCACTCATGGGTGGAAAACAGGGCCAAGATTATAAACATTTCCATCAACTGCTAGGAATGTTGTAGGCTCTAGGAGGAGAGGAAGACTCCATTCTAGGTGACCTGATGTCACAACTCAAGAGGCCTCACGGGAATGTAAGTCATCAGGAGGAACTGCTTATTGCCAGAGACAAGCTCAGGGTTCTGGAGATGTTATGTGTTATGGGACTGCACCAAGCAGGGCAAAAGCTCGACCCCATGTTCAAAAGGGCAGTTAATGTAGCCCAGAAGACAAAGCATTTCACTGCATGATCCAAGGGAGAACTACGCCCTCTTATCTGTGTGTAACATCCTAATTTTCAAAATTAAAAAAAAAAAGAACAAAAGACCTAGACCAAAAGAGTCCCACAGGTGTCCTGGATACCGATGGTGGAATTCAGACAGACCACTTTCATGGTAAGTGATCTTGCATATCAGAATATATGAAAAGTAAAACATAAGAGGCCTATGAGACCTGTGATTTCATAGGTACTGTCGCATGGTAAGATATAAACAGAGACAAGGGATTGAAAGGAAACGCTATGGTTAGGAGAACAGAGAGGGTGGCAAAGCAAGCTGGTCACTGGAGTCTCAAAAGCCCTGGAAAAATGGGGTTGATTGCTAGTGGGCCTTAGCTGCTTTAAATCCTCTGCCATTCTCCTGTTTAGTATGGTAGAGTGGGTGAGGAGGAGTCAAGTCCCCCACCCGATGTCCTCCCATCACAGTTTAGTATGGTAGAGTGGGTGAGGAGGAGTCAAGTCCTCCGCCCGATGGTCTCCCATCATGGTTTAGCACGGCAGAGTGGGTGAGCAGAAGCCATGACTATGGGTGAACGTGATCTGGATGTGAAGCTGGTGTTCTCCCTGAGGCATCGAAGAGGGCTGCTATTGGCACAGCTGTCCTTCCCATGCGGTCCACTGCCAGCCTGCTGCTGCCTTTAGGTCAGGAGAGTCTGTCTGATTGACAGGTCTGCCACTCTCGTCACCTTGCCTCACAGAGTCCCTGCTGCCCATGCTACACTTGCCTGCAGGGCCTGATGAAGATCCCCCCTCCCCCAGTCATCTGCATTTGCCTATGACCTTCATTGTGATATTTCCCGGGATAACTATTCTATTAGAGTGCCGTGATCTGAATGGAACTACCCTTCATAGGCTCAAGTCTGGAACACTTCCTTTCTGGCTGGTTCTGGAATCCTGGCTAATTTGGGAAAGCCATGGGAAGTTTAGGAGGTGGGACTTCCCTGGTAGAAAGAGGTGACTAAGGGGTGGGCCTTTGAAAGTCTTCCTTGTTTCCAGAAGCCTGCCTCAGTCTCCACTTCCTGGTCTGCTGTGATGTGAACAGCCTCCACCACACAGCCCTGCTGCCACAGCCTCAGGGGCTCTGCCAAACTTTCCCCACAATGGCATACTGAAACACACTGAACCACTGAACCGGCAAGTCAAAATATTTTTCCTTCCTCTCTGTGTCTTTTGGGTGTTGTGTGACAGAGAGCTCAGTGGCGCTCCCTCCATAGCTCCACTGTTTCCTAGTCAGTCTGTGTCTCTAACACGGTTAGGTTTCTCTGTTCACAGTCCGGTCTTCCGCCCAGCATCACACGCACGCTGCACGCACCTAAGCTCACACATGCTGCCGAGCAGGAGGTTCCCCTCTGAGGGTCTGCCCTGAAGGAGATAGGAGAGCCGAAAGTTACCTATTCCTTCCCCAGTGGCTGTCTGCACACCTGCCTCTTGTTTTGTAGATGGAGGCTGGGAACCTGTGCCTCCCAGGCTCCTGCAAAGCCAGACGATTCAGTGTTGCACCTTTACAAACAGCGGCTTGATCTTGGGCAGCATGCAGACACACCAGCTGTGCAGGATTATTGAGAGGTCACCTAATGGTTGACGTGGGGAGCTAAAGTGGGCTCTTCAAGGCCATCCTGACTTTACATGATTTTCATCAGCAGCTCTCTGGCAGAACCTGTCCCTCACTTGCCAAGAATCCCAGCAGTTAGCCTTGGGACCAAGGGACTGGTGTCCAACCAGTGTCGGGAAGCGATGTACACAAATCGTTCCCTGTTTTTAAAAAAATACCCTCTGCAGGGTCTCTAAGGCCTTCTTTTTCTGCCTTGGTGTCAGGGCTCAGTTTCCTGACACATGAGAGCCAGCCAGCATACCTGGCACTAGAAGCGTGAACCAGCATTATATACTAGGTTGCGGGAGACCCTGGGTCATATTTATCCTGGGAGCAGTGCTTGGCCGTCCAAACTACAGGATCAACTTTAAAAGTCTCATCCTGGCAACAAGGGCTTCCATCTCTGTATTTAAAGTGTCAGAGGAGTCCACACAGAACTTGGCCCAGAGTGTAAAGAATGGATTTTAAATCCCCCCCCCCCCCCCAGAGGTGACACAGAGTTTGGTTTGAATTAATGTGTGCAACTCTCAAACCTTCCCCTTGTGTGAGCTCAGGTAACACCTCTGAGCTGTTGACTCCTCAATGGTCACCCCCTACCTCAGAAACGAGGAGGCTGAAGGCCATCGAGGTCTGAGTAACTTCCCTGGCTATTTGCATACAGTGGAGCTGAGACCTAAGCCCAAGTCCGCCTGTGGGCGGCATCTTCTCTGGACCACACCTGTATACACTTGTCTCTCCATTCCCTCCTCTTTCTCCTCGCTACCATCCCTGCCAGTGGCATGACTACCCTCAGGGACACTGCAGGAAGAGGGTGACATAGGAAGGTACAAGCAGGAGAGCAGCCTGTGCCACTCCGCGGCTTGGCCGTCACACTTACTTTGCTGTGGGCACAAATAGCGGAGCCCAGGAGCTTCCAGGTGCCGCCCCTCCTGTCCATTCGAAGCATGCGCAGGATCTGCAGGAAGCGGAGACTTCGCAGGGAGGTGGCCAGGACATTGCCCTGGTTTCCCACGGCGACCACGGGCACAGAGGCAATCAGCACGAAGATGTCTGGTAAAGAGGGCAGGGCGTGGCAGGGAACAGGGTTAGAAGGGAACAGGTGGAGGGGAAGCAACCATTGAGAGTACTGTCCGGGGGCTGGCGAGCATGCGTCGAGCAGGGGCTGTGCCCTAAGAGGTTGTGTTTGAATGCGACATCAACCGCCAGCAGCAGTGGATTGTGCCGCGAATGACGAGAAACAGAAACTCTGAGCACTAATGATGTCCCAGACTTCAGCTCTGCTTCTAGAGCTCAGAGGTGCTGTTTCCCAAGGTCCCTGGTGAGAAGGGACCTTGGGAAACAGCACCTCTGAGTTGTGGAGAAGAGGGAATCGGGGGTTGCTCAGGAGAATGTAATGGAGTTTGTCCTCAGCGTCTGTTTTAAGGTGTTTTTTTTTTTTTTCCTGAGTAAGTGGGACATGAGACGGGACTTGGGTGTGAATTGTTGAGTGATTAATAGAGGGGTACTGGATTCTTCCAGAACTTTTGTATTGGGGTGGCGTGGTGGTTTGAAGGATGGACCCCACAGGCTCATGTGTTTGATTTTTTGGCCTCAGTTAGTGGAACTGTTTGCAAAGGATTGGGAAGTGTGGTCCGAGAGGGTGTGGCCTTGTCTGGGGGGATGTACAATGGGGGAGGTGGGCTTTGAGCTTAGAACGCCCACAGGAGATCCAGTTGCTCCCTCTCTGCCTGCTGCCTGCATGCCAGGATGTAAGCTCTTAGCCACTGCTCCAGCCTCAAGCCCTTCACTGTGCTCCCACCGCGATGGCTATGGGTTAACCTTCGGAAACAGTAAGCAAGCCCCAATTAAACGCTTTCTTTACAAAGATGCCTTGGTCACAGGGTTTCAACACAGCAACAAAACAGCAGCTAAGACCGGTGGGATCTGCCGCTCACCAGTTCTAAAAAACTGGAAGAACTCAGCTTTGGGAACTTCAGTCTCTATCTCTGTAAAACAGGTCACATGTGGTCTGAGAGAAGGGGTCTCTCAATCACCAATGGTGTGACACTTCCTACCCCTGATGGCCTGGAACACACGGGTGATTAGAGCTATATTAGCAACTGAGTGGGCTACTAGTCTAAGTACTGGGGTCGCACACTGCCCGGTACTCTGTGGCTTTTTAGAGTCCAGATGCTAACAGTGAGCCCAGTCTCCAACCACCAAGGTTCACTGCCCTTACCACATCTCAAGGAACAATCCCAGGGGGTGGATTTTCAACACCGTGTATTGTGTCACTCTCTGCATCCATACAGAAAAATAGTGTAGGGGAGGACAGAAGCCATCACTGGACTCTGTTGCCAGGGCTTACCCAACATGCACAGGGGCTTCCTGGCAAACTTCAGCCGTCCACGCCAGCCTTTGTATCGACAGCAACATCCGGCGGCCCAGATCCTCAAAGCAAACTCAGCTCCAAAGATGAAAATAGCAAATGTTTCCTGCACGGGAGAGCATATGGAGTGGGGTTACCCAGTACCCGCTGTCAGGACTTCTGACATCAGAGGAACTGTGTTTCTGTTGCTGCTGCTCTGGTACTCAGTGTTCTGGGGCCAAAGAAGCGAGAAGGACAGGTGGGCTACCTCCATCCAGTTTCTAAGAGCCCCTGTCTTCACCTTGGCATGTCAACTATCCATGCCAAATGAACGTGCATGTTTCTTTGCCAAGGATCCCATTCCAACCAATCATCTTTAAAGTCCCTTGAATGTATTTAAAATCCCTAAGGAGTAAAAGTCAAACATAGAATGCTCAGACACAGGTATGACTAGCTGGCCGGTGCTGCTCACCTTAGCTTTTGGGCAAGCCACTGTCTCAAGAGTTTCTCAGTTGACATTTTGAGAAACCAAAGGAGGGTCATGGTTTAGAAAGGAGTATGCCTTTAGGTGAACGTTTGGGGGGCCAGGAAGCTATGTTTTATCATTTGATACACGATGGTTTGGGCTTGGACTTGCATGCCCCCTTGTTTCTGTCTGGCCCAATGGATCATCATCACCAAGGCGATGCCTACTGCACGTCTGGCCAGGCAAGGGAGGCATTGCTTTTTCTTGGAACTGGACTTGACTAGAGACAATAGGAAGCTGCAAACCAGGACAAGAGTTTCCAGAGACTGACTCCCTACAGCTGAAAATGACTTATAGCTTCCGTCCTTTAGTATAGGGCCCACAGCTCACCAGCAGCAAAAGCCAGTCTCCAGACACAGTCTCGTACTCCTTGAAGGTGGTGAGCACAGCCAGAATCAAGCATCCCAGGACAATCAGGAACCTAGTGGGAAGGAGGGGGGAAGGAAGGAGCTTTAGTCCTGGCTGGTCCATCAGGCTATGGCAAGAAATGGTCAGTGAGGACCCTGGACAGTGTCCCACGCTCTATAGGTTATGCCATTCATTCCCCACACAACCCTGAAGGATGGTGAGACGATGAACAGGCTCAAGACATTAAGTGAGGAGCACACTGTTAGGTCACCAGCTGCTTGGTGGAATCAGTTCCTCAGCCGTTTTGATTTTTGGTGTCTCAGAACACATTTTCTGGTCAATACACCTGATGATTCACTAAGATATATCTGTACCCCAACCTTGTCTAGGAATTTTACCACAATCACCAGCACCCTCAATGTGTTAGGTCTTTTATTTGAAATGAACAACTCCCACTTGCAGCCCCAAATCCTCTTCTCAGGGGATAACGAGGGTGATGGTGGTCCTGATGCTGATGACGTCAACACCAGCACTCCTCACTACTACCTTTGGTCAGCACCTGCCACCTGCCATTTCATACTTGCCAGCTCATCATGCAGATGGTGACTCTCAAGGTCGGTATGACACAGGATTTTTGAGACCAACATGGTGTAAAATGTTAAATGATGGATCCTACAACACAAAGGACCAACCCAGTTCTGTGAGGTTCACCTTTAGCTGGCATTGAACGTGGATGTGCATGCCAAAGTTGGGTTGATGTACAAAGAGACCTCTAGTGTTCCAGAGCTGACATCATGTGGCAGAAGTAGGAGCTGTCACTCACTGTGTCTTCCTCAATCACGCATGTGGTATGCGTGTAAACGATGACTCTACAGGATGGGCATGGTTATTCCTGTGAGTCATTCCCTTGTATGATGGCCTCATCCTAGTACAAGCAGACCCTGGAACTCATTCCTCCTTTGTTTGCTTTATCATATGGCGAAGGCCACTAGATAGCCATGCCTGTGACTGTGGCACCCTCCATGGATCCCCATCTACACGGATGAGCTAGGGAGTCTCTTGCTGGTCTTGTAAAGGGCCTGTGAGGTCTACATGTGGCCAAGAGCTGCCGTGGCTCTTGGGGTCTGACCTTGCTCCCAGTTCATGATAACATGAAAGTGGGACCTGCCCTACAACACCAGGAATTGGTCATCAAACATCCAGAAAGAAACGTAGCCCTCCCTAACCTCATTGGCTCATCTGTGTAGCCTCAACATAGAACCCAATTAGAACACTGATGCTCAGATTCTGTAAGCTACAAAGAGAAATGGTATCATGGCCATCCACTAAGATAGTGGCAGTTTGCTTTACCCAGTGTTAGAAAATTCAGTGTAGGATGGGAACCTGCCAAGTGCACCTAATTTTCAGAGTTGGACAACTTCATGGCCTAGATTCTTTGGCCTCTCAGACTCTACTCTTGGACAACAGAGAATGTCCCAGCTCCAATCGCTATCCAGTGACAACCTCAGGGCTCAGCGCTCTAAGCGACCACAGTTGCTTAAATAAGGAATCAAAGTGACTTCAGTAATTCCCTGTTGCTGGAATTAAAGACAAAGAACACACGTATACACACACATACACACACACTTTTACACACAAACATGAGCACATATATGCACACACAGGCACATAAGTACACATACATGTACAGTTCATTGGATTGGTAGAACATGTGCCCAGCACGTGTCAATTTCTGGTTTCAATCTGTAGTAACACAACCCCCCCCACGCACACCTAGAAAATTGGAAGGGCACTTGCTTAGTATCTCTCAGGTTCTTACTTTAATCCCTAGTGCCACACACACACACACACACACACACACACATACACACCTATATATAACAGCTTTCCTTTATCTGTGGTTGCTTTTTGTGGCTTTAGCCATTCACAGTTAGCCTAGTCTGAAAATACTAAATGCAAGCTCCAGAAATCAGTCATTGATGGACATATTATCTCATTACAATTATTACTGTAAGTCCTCTAGTTTATGTTATTCATTGCCAATAATCTTTTGCGGTGCGTGCTTTGTAAATTAAGCTCTATCAAAGGCATGCCGGATCTATAGAAAAAAACGTAGTATGACTAGTTTGGTTCTATTTTCCATTTGGGCATTCACAGGGCATCCTCGCACATACCAACTCTGGACAGTGGAGACACCTGTATCTGCATCTGTGGACAAGGCCAGCTCAACAAGGGGTGTGGTCAGTGGTTGCTATCAAGGCAGGCAGTGGAGGAATGCTGAGGAGGTGATGAGAGGCTCTGGGAAGAGAGTCGCCCTTCAGCAGGGCTGAAGAAGGTGTTAGGGAAGAGCAAGAGGACCACAGCAAGGAGCTTGTTGCTAGGAAACACGGAGACCATGTCAGGAGGCTGCCCAGTAGCCTTGGGCTCATGAAGATGAGGAGCATCATGCAGACATGGTGAATTTGAGGTCCGAGTGAAACTCCACATTGTGCCAATAATAACGCAAATTCAAAGTCTGCAAGAGAGGTTGGTATCCTCCGGAGCTCTGGCAGTCTGGAAGAGGAGGCGGAGTAGTCAGACGTATCTCATGCCACTCAGTTTCAACCTGGTTCTTACCAGCCTGCAGCATGCAGAGCCTGGCCTGGGCCAGCAGGTGGCAGCCAACCACCACACAACTAGCCAAGCATGCGTGTCTTCAGCAGTGTTATTGGGATCTACTTTCTGAGGCTGGAGAAAGACCAGCAAACGTAAATCATCTTCCCAGTTGTAAATCATCTAGGAAGCCCTTCTAACCCTGAGGAGAGGAGGCATCTTTTCCCAGATTTTTGCTGATTTCAAAATGCCTTTAAAATGACTCATTTAGCCATCAGTCTGGGTGACAGATGTGCCCAGGCAGCAGCCGCCCTGCCCTCCACTTTCCTTCCTGTCATATGTACTCTGGGTGCCTCACTGACCCTTCGTTTCCTTCCATCCTTTGCCTGTCTGGGCTCTCTTTCTATAGCTGTGATGGCTGCCTCCCCTCCCCCTCCCCCCTCCCCCTCCCCCCTCGCTCAGCCCAGTCTCTTCCCTCCCACCGTGTGTTCTGGGCTCACAGCCTCTCCCTCCCCTCTGTGGTCTTCAGGCCCAGAAGGAGAGATCTGGGCAGAGATCCTTGTGAGATCCACCAGGGCCTTTCTGTCCACAGTAGCTGGCTGTGTCTGAGAGCCATGCTGTTCAGTGCCAAGGCTATCCTCACGCCCACTGTCTCTTCCATGGGTCTCCTTCAGTACCTCATCCTCTGCCATCTTTCAGCCAAGGCGGAGCCGGAGGCATCAGGGGAGAGACAGGGAAGGGTCGCTTTGAGAGGCACACCCTTCTAAAGTGCACAGCTCTGGAGATCAATACAAGGTCCAGCGCATCGTGTCCAGGCGCCCTGGGCACCAGACCTCCACCAGGCGGCACACAGGAAGACACAGGCAGACACAGATGACACTGAGCTGAAGAGGCAGAAGATGCTCACATTTATGTTGCCATCCCCATGTGCTGTTCTCTCTCTCCAATGCCCCCTGAGAACACCAGTGAGGCATGGGGGTGTCCCTACCTCATGCACGGATAAGAACCAGGTTTCCAAGCTCAGGTGGCACTGTCACCATGGAAACAAGAAGCTCCCCTTTGCTGAGGGCCAGTAGGGGGAGCTTGATGGAGAATCTGCAGAGGGTATACTTATGTACTAGAGGAGGGCACCTGGCCACCCCATCTAACTGGGAGGGCAGTTCCCTTTTTGCTCCTCTGGACTCCCACATTTAAGAAGTCTCTATCCAGGGATCCAGTTGGTCCCCTTTAATTGCAGCTGTTCTGAGGCAACTTCCCATCATCAGTGGCTCCAAAATATCCTACAAAGTCAGGGGGCAGGCAGTAGCTGGCCCACTGTTTATCATTGGAGTTCCTGCTCTGAAAGGGATGAAGGCCTGGCCATCTTAGCCAGGTGTAGGCAGGCTGAACTAACAGAGCAGGTGTGGTTGGCTTCCTCACACCGGATGGGACTCAATGCCCCTCCGTGGGTCTCAGCTCCGGAGAGATGAAATATCTCCCATGCAGAGAACACCTTCGGACCACACCAGAATCCTACAGGTCCTTCAGTGAGATCTGTGGGAGGTAAAGCACTCACTGTGTGCAGGATGCTATTCTTTCATGGTTTTGAGTTTTATTGATATGTACTACTTACAAATACTTTATGAGGATTAGGGTGGGGCTTTGATTCATGTAGGTGCACACCGTGTAGCAAGTGGCGCAAAGTAACCAGTGAACCACCTTAAATGTGCCATCTACATATGGTGAATACATCAAAGCAGACTAAAAATGCTTTGTTATATCCCTCCTGCTCTGTCACAAAGCTTCAGAAGATGCTCTTCCCACATAACAATATGCTTGTCGACCAACTGCTCCTACTTCTGTATCTTCTTTCCACTTCTGTAGCCACTAGTCTTCTGTCTACCTCTATGAGGTCAACCGTTTATTCTATGAGGTCAACTGTCTAAGATCTTATATGTGAGTGAGATTGTGAAGTCTTGGTTTTTCTGTATCCAATTCACTTTATTTAACATGATACATTTTGAGTAAATCCTTCCATATTATTTATTAGATATGACATAACCATGTGCCTTCAGTGGCCAAACAAAATTCTATTACATAATAAGAAACAAAATCAGACAAATGAGATTATGTCAAACTAAAAAAATAACTGGCAAGGGGACAAAAAAATGAAAAGGCAACCATTTATCTGATTGAGAAAATGTTCTAATCTATCTATCTGACATAGAGTTACTAAGGTCTACAATATGTGAAGAACTCAAATGATTCAACAACAACAGAATAAATCAAAAACCAAATTACAATGATCTAAAGATCTACTTAGATTTTTCTCAAAAGAAAATATAAAAATGACCCATAATGATTATTAAATCCCAACTGGTCAAGGGCTCAACTTAATGTTTAAGCAAGTCAAACATGGTTGGTGAATTACGTTTGTCTTGCAAATTCTGTAGTATGGATTGGTTGAGACTGCCTGGAGTGTAGGATTCAAACTGCTGCCAA